GGGCGAGGTACCCGGGTGGGGGCGAGGTGCCCCGGGTGGGGGCGAGGTTACCCGGGTTGGGGGCGAGGCCCGAGTGGGGCCCAGCCGGTTGGGGCGAGGCTGCCGGGTGGGGCGAGGTGCCCCGGGTGGGGGTGAGGTGCCCAGGTGGGGGTGAGGCAAGAAGCGGCTCTTCTCTCTCGCTGCACTGACCGAGCCGCGGCTGCATGTTTCAGGCTCCCGGGTGGCTATCATGCCCAACCCTATGGCAAGCACCGCAAGGACAGATTCACAGGCACCGAATGTGTTGAGAAGGCACTTGGACACACACCCGCTGTCTGCAAAACTGTTGAGATAAACAGCAGTGCTGTTTGCTGTGGCTTTCTGTTCACACGGTCCATGCTCGGTGCTGGACCGTGGCTGTGGTGCTCGTGTGCTGTTGCTTCTGTCACCACGCGTCCAGCGCAGTTGCCGTTTTTTTTCTTCTCCAGGTAAAGTTGAGGCTTACACAATGGGCAGGTGTTTAAGCTTTGTTTGCATGTCATTGATGTGTTAAGTAGACTTTATACAATATTTAAATGTTTCTTGAGTTGAAATCTAACAACAAAAAGGAAAATGAGCATCCTCAGCCCAGGAGCTTAGAACTCGGGTCTTGGAAGTTGTTTGGCAGCAGCTGATGGGGGGAAAAACACACGCAAGGCCCGAAGAAGGTCGATATCCTGCCCAGGTGACTTCCCGTTGTCGCTGCTACAATCTCAAATCTGCACGCCATTCTCTGTGTGTTATCTCCTTTTGAGCACATTAACATTAAATTAAAATTAGAGTGCTTTCTGAAGAGAGGAATGTATTAACTGTTAATAACTATTCACCTTTAAGTCAAAATAGAATATTAATTTCTTTAAAAAGTGAGACTCTGGCTGGCGCGGTGGCTCATGCCTGTCTCCTAGCTCTCTGGAGGCCGAGGCGGGTGATTGCTCGAGGTCAGGAGTTCGAAACCAGCCTGAGCGAGACCCCGTCTCTACTAAAAATAGAAACAAATTAATTGACCAACTAAAAATATACATACAAATAATCAGCCAGGCATGGTGGCGCATGCCTGTAGTCCCAGCTACTCGGGAGACTGAGGCAGGAGGATCGCTTGGGCCCAGGAGTGTGAGGTTGCTGTGAGCTAGGCTGACACCACGGCACTCAC